CGACTCTCAAACTGGCTAAATCTAAAATCAGTAACGACTGCTGTCACACCTAAGTGGAAACGAACTTAATCTACTGCCAAATTTTACTGTGACTTTTTCTAAGGGACATTATTCCCCTTAGAGTAGTTGTCAGGAATATTAAAAGTCCAGTCAACTGCATGGTATTGCAGAATTTTCTCAATGAGGCTAACATAGAAAATACAGATTACAACTCGTGTTTATTTAATTCCATGTGTGTTGACAAGGCTTTTTATCATGAGGTAGTAGTTTCCTTCCATTACTTTGAAAATACATTTCAGATATACCATCCAATCTAGTTAGGGCACAGAGACTGCCTAAATGCTGAGGTTGTAAATCATAGCATAGAGCATGGAGCTTTCACCTTAATGGAAACCAAATATAGGATATGCTGCACTTTGAAATGTGGCACAGATGATCATAATGAAGGACCAAGGAAAAAATGCTGCAGAGCAGAAAACTATCAATGTGGAAATAAGTTCTTATGAGTAAATGTTTGTTTTAAGTCAGTACTCATAAGTCAGGTTACTGACACTGGGAAATTACACTAAGAAACAAGTGAGGCAACAGCAAGCCTTTGTATAATGAAAAGAGAAGTAAGTAGTGTGGTGATATATCACGTTAAGAGGGACTGCTGTGGAATGCAGAGTACAGTGCAAATCAGTTCTTTAATAAAGAGATATTATATATTTCATCCAGACAAATTAGCTGACACGCTCGTAAGAAATACAAGAATTGCATCAAAGACCAGAGAAGCAGTCCATTTGGTACAGAACACTGTCTCCAAAAACATTTAGAACAGCTGCATCTGCAGAGTTTATGTACTCTGGTGGAATAAATAAATAATTTGACCACAAAGAAGCTCATTTTTGCCTTCATTAGTTAAGGGCTGAATTATAACCTGCTGCACAAGACTCTATGTATCTTCCAGTGTTGGTTATTTTTCTAATGCAACGCACGCCCATACAAAACAGAAAAGTACTTCATTTAAGATTTCACACAGGTGTACATCCTCTCTTTTTCTTTCTTTTCTTCAGTGAAAGTTGTCCCAGATCTTAATCCTTCCTACTGCAAGTAAATACATGACTGCTGTTGGTTTGGTAGCCATGCAGCAAAAGTGTGCAGAAATAGCCTGGGTGTATGACCTATTCTCAGATAAAAAGAAAAAAGAAAAAGAAAAAAGAAAAAAGAAAGCAAAAGATAAACAGGCACAACAAAATAGACATTTACATTTCTCATTCCAGCTTTCTTCACTCCCATTTCCTCAGCTTATGAGTCACAGTCGTGAGCTACAGCCGCTATGGAAGTTAGGAATATAGAAGTTATGGAATATATTTCAGACAAGAGATCCAACAACATGTCAATGGCTCTCATTTCTTCTTGCTCCTCATTACACTACTGTCAAATAACAGCCAGTGCTTCACCAAAATCAGCTCATGGAATATGCTGACTGATGCCAAACCAGAGAAGATAGATGGAAATTCTTTGAAGAGGTGTATCATCATCACAAATTTATTTTTACATATTGTGACTGTTGAAATGTCACATAACTGAATGTACAAGTTATGTTTTCTGCTACCTCCAGGTGGTTAGGAGACTCCAGACTCAGTCTGACAGAAAAAAATTTGGCAATATTAATACACACGATCATCACATTACACAGACATGAAATAGTCAGCCTACAGAAAACTCACTAGCACAGGATATGGCAGCAGAGACCCTTGAGCAGACATGCATTGACTTCTCAGCTTACTGTCTATATCCAGTCAAATATAATATCTCTATCATCAAAGTGTTCACGGAATTCTATCCCAGAAAGAATTCTCATACAATCAAAAAAGTTCTTCAAACTTCTATGCCTTTTTTTCTAAAAGCCAATCAACCAAAACACAAAGCAACAACAAAGCCTACATCTTTTGCTCAAGCATATGAAACATACACAGCACAAGGAACAGAAAATGCACGCTGAGAAATGTGTAGGGTTTCACGTCCCACAAGAAAAAAGATTATTTTTTTAACTCTGATAACTTGGAGTTATTGTCTTCTTTGGAAAAGGAAAAAACACCAGGAGAGATCTCTCAAGAATATGTCTTGGAAGGACTTCAAATACAACTGAGCCAAGACTGGTAACCACATTACTTAATACAGAATTTCAAAGCATGGACAGATGCAATTCTGTGGCTATTGGAGTGTGGATACAATAAACAATTATACAAAGACTGTATCTTTACCAAAATAAGCAGTTCTTTCTTACCCGCCTCTAGCTGCATTTTACTTCTGTGGACCTCTGTATTAGGGAACTTTCTTATTCCAGAGGATGTTAAATCACCTAATTTACACAAAGATAAATCTTTGGCTGCATCAGTCAGAGCAATCAGGTGACTGAATTAGCTAGGTTGAGAAATTGAGGTGCTGGAGAAAGGGGGCAGGGCTGGTTCTCCTGATGGCATTGCATTCATTGGCTGCTATTTTCACAGCCACCTGTGCTAGCATAACTGCAAAAGGCTTCTTTCTTCTTTCCCCTACTCTTCTTGTTTTCTCTTATTTCTTTACTTTCTTCTCCGTTTTTCAACAGGTGAAAATTTCAGTAGTTCTGATAAATATCAGATGTGCTTATGAGCTGCTCAAACTCACTAAAATGACAGAAAGCAGCAGGGATCCAGGAGTAGAGAAAGGAGCAATCAGGATTGAGCTGTTAATTTAATTATTTAGACTTGGTGAAACTCTCCATTCAGATCAGCCTAAGCTAATGACAAAACTGCAAATTCCCCATTAGGCAATCATTTGAAGTTTGATCACTTATTTTTACTAGTTAGAGCGTCCTACAAATAATACTGCGTGGGTAATTATTTTTGAAGTCTTATTTACTGGTTATAAAATATTAATGAGGAATGCAAGTATATGAACCATAGGTCATATGGTTCATATACTTCATATAGAAGAGAGAAATCACAATTTTCACTAATGATTTAATGTAAAGTATGGCAAAATTATTTTCCTAATAATATATAATATATAGTAATAATAATAAATATCTCCTAACTTAGAAAGGATAGATCTTAGGAATGTTGAACAAAAGGAAATTTTTAGGACAAATTTTTGTTCTAATTTCTGTGAAAACAATTTATTTATTATGCTTTTTAGTGTCTTCTGATTCAAAATGATCTCATTGATCATTATTGAAAACATTAATAATCTGAAGAGGCTTTTCAACATTAATTGTAAAATTTCTGGCAATTTCCTTTTAGTCAGAATGTTTTCTTGTAAATTCCATTACAAAAATACCACAGTCTCCATAACAAACATTCCTACCATGAATCTAGAAATTGTTTAACGCACTGACAGTGCACAAGCAAAGCCTGCGATGGTAAAACATGCATATCAAGATGCGGTACTCACAAACATCACAAAGCTGTTAATATCACAAGCTTGATAATTTATGACAAAGTGCAAGTCTATTGCACTCACATATTGAAATTCTTCACAACTATTACTTGATTTAGTCTTGTTGATAGCAAACAATTTGGTGGACACCCATTTAATTTTTTTCGAAGAAAATAATATGAACAAACTTCTCCTACTAGTCTGTTTTTTATGAGAAACAACTCAATATCAAAGAAGGAACTAGGAAAGAGTCACTGAGAAGTATAACATTAAGGAAAAAAGGAAAGAAGAAAAACTACACAAGAAAGCAGAGGAAAGTGCAGTAGAGAATGGGCAAAGAGTTTAGTATTTTAACAACAGATGCAAATATGGAACAGAATAGGAAACTTTTTTTTTTTTTCCCCATGACAGAATGAGAAACAATATAGAAGCACCAGATGAAAATTTTGTTCCTACTCCTTTAACCTTTCACATGTATGCACTTTAGGCAAGAGTTGGGAGAAATTTAGAGGGTATATTTTAACACATAACTCTGCTCAAATTTAGTTAGAAAACCTGAGTACCTGAAGTCTGAGACCTATTGCTCACAGGTTGTAGAATTAATTGCCAAGTAATAAAATTATTTGCTTCTAGACTATCTATTGTAGTAGATTATCAGGTATCCGTCAACATAAAAAAATTATTTATTTTGCATTAAATATTGTCCAATAATTATTTTTTCCTGTACCAATGAAAAAGAGCCACAGTAGTATAATATATTTTTATGTTCTTGTTTTTGCCTGATCTGAGGGGAAAGCAGAAGAATCAGCACCACTACCAAAAATTAACTATTAGAAAAGTTATCGGTTGCTATATATTTTGCAGCTGTTTCAAGTCACAAAAATCATTCTGAATGTAATCAGTAACAGGTCTGAGTTTCAATTATTATTATTTAATTTCTTTTTTTCACTGTTTAAGCCAAAAAATATCTGATAACAGTTCTTCTAGTTTTCAGAAGTACACAATGTTGCTGATAACCAACTTTCCTGATGGCCAGCACAAGGTAGCTTGGGAACGTTATACACATCAAAATCTGTAACTTAGCGTCATCAAAATCTGATCACATTAGTGTTTTAACCAACCTTGATTAAAAAAGAATGTAGATTAAAAAGTAACAGTCACAAACACAATAAAAACATGTCCTATGAACACAAAAACAACTATAATTAAGCAGATTAAATACCTGTTTAATTCAGTCTCCTATCGTTTCAATTCCTAGAAGTCTGTTCCTGATGTACAGCATAAATACAGAACAAAATATTTAAGTTCTTAGATTTGTTTTAGTGAAATAGCAATTACCCAGTCCAAATTCAGGAAAGAACTTCTGGTATTCTGGTCAAAATATGTGGCCATTAATATAGTATTTTTGCATTGACTGGTAAATGGATGGCTTTCTGACTTCTTTCAATATAAGTTGGTTATAAAAAAGAAAACTCTTCTCTTCAAATTATGTCATGAAAATAAAGAAGCCAAATGCACATTTGTAATGTTCTTATTTCTTTATGATAGGAACAATTTATAAGGTCATTAGCTTAAACATTTCAAAATAAATGTCTTACTTCGTAGGCGTAGTCCAACAAAGAAAGTTGAGTTCTTAAGTAACCAAGTTTGTATACTCCTAAGAAGACTGAGCAGCGGATGATTTCCAAAATTCCTGCTTTGGGTCTAGAAACAGGAAATAATGCAGATTAATGTTGTTGGCTTTCTTTCTTGTTAACTTCAATGAAAATCAAAATGTAGAAATAGTCTATGAATCCCACAGCTATATAAAATCCCCTTTTCTAAACTTAAACTTTTTTAAAAGGTTACATTTTTATAGTATACAGTTTATATCTTAGAATATCTTAGTACTGAATTTTCTGTGGGTGAGAACATGCATATGTAGAGAACATACGTGAACTCACACACATATAAACATATCTTTTAATCACAGAAATGATAACAGAAAAATTCTGAGAACTGCCATCTGAATAGCTCAGAATCTTTTCATTGGCACATTTCTGTAAATTCATATTAATTCTCCTTACCAAGTTTGTAAATAATACTGATCTCTGATTTCTTGAAAAGCTTTTACCCACCCTGAAATACCCTATTCGGAACATACAAGCAAAATGTATTCTTTATTGAAAAAGACAATGAGTAGTATGTGCAAAACACAAGTGGCACAACAATGAAGACTCTATTCCACATTTCTATGTTAGCAGGGCAAATACTCATAGTTTCCCTTTCAAGAAACTGTACTTGCTATTCAGATTCCTGTAGGTTTACAGCATTTGTATGGACTACTTCCAGAGCATACATCTCACAGAACTGGTATATTTTTCAAGATCCAATTTGATTTGAATCCATATTGACCAAATTAATCCTTAATCTTTGGTATCCTTCACATAAGTTTGAGTCTGCACTTTTTATGCTCTTCTCATACACTATCAGTCAATCTGACACCCATGAAATGCTACTACATAGGACTGAAACAACATGGCTAAGTTTGAGCAGCATTGGAACAGACTACAGGTCTGCCAGTATCACAAAACCAGGGAGGTTGATCCTACAAATGCAAGCACATTTGAGGACATGAGCAGTTGGTGCTTCAATATCACCACTAATTGCTGCTGGAACACTCCTTGTTTTAGTTACAGGGTATTTGTGTTTTATCTTCTAGCCAACAGACAGAAACATACCTGTCAGAGTATATCTATAGTTCTTTATCAATACAATTTTGGGCACAGTTGAGATTTCCTTGTATTATTAATATTGTAGAATGAGAGAAGAAAAAAACCATGCTTTATGTCTTGCCTTTTCTCCATAAGAAATCCAAAAGAGGTCAGGGATAGAATGATAATGGCAATTCTCAGTAGAATATTTTCCTGTGATAATGTCTGTTTAAAAAAAGAAAAAAAAAAAATCATTAGGCTAATTTTCTGAAGAGAAACTGAGTTTAACAGAACTCAGCAGCTTCAACTTTATCTCAGTGATTTCACTGTCTGTTTCTGAAGTGATTCACATTTTATTTTGCAAAAATTTGCAGTAATCACTTTTATAGTTGCCTCTATTTCCAATGTAATTATTAAGACACACCCTTCTGCACCACTTGCTTTCCTGAAGTTGCTTGATTTCGTCATGCCTTAGCCCACAAGGGCATAACATTTCTAAGTAAAAACTACCTTGGCCCTATTCTATTTTTTCATGTTATTTTACTACATTTTTACAGTTGCCATGTATAAATCCCAATACCAAAACAGACATTGGTAACAGTAAGAATTCAAATAACATGATAATATAGCTATATTTTAACAAGAAACAAAACTAATAATGTTTCCTCATAACACTTGGTTCCGAATTCAGGAAAACTCTTCAGCTCATATAATTGACTCCAATCAGACTGAAAACTTTTAAACGTTAACGTGTTTTATTATTTGGACACAAAGCAGCATGGAGATTTATGTCCTTGATATTTAAATCTAAATAATAGAAACAGCAATCAGAAAATAAAATTCTTTTCCATGATGAAGTCTGATTTTTCTTCTTTTACTTTATGAAATAATTTTATATTCTACATAGCTGCCTTTGCAAATCAAATATTTAATCATTTTTCTTGTTCCCTCCCTTGCTTCGTCTCAAATATTAGCTTTGAAGAGCCTTTATTTTTTCTTAAAAAAAAATAAATAAAATTTAAAAAAGCAATATGAAAATAGCGCATCTTGCTGAGTTATAGAAATTCTTTCCGGTTTGAACAGCAATAAAGTTTATGAACAGCATTTTGCACCTCAAGATCTCAGGCACTGAAAAATAAAAACCTGTGAATCCCTGCCTTGATTTCAATAAAGTCCACTTTGCAGCAAGCCCACTTTCCTTCAGTGGTGGCCCCTACCTCGCAAAGAGATCTAAGGTAAGTATCTGTGAGTGTTGGAGGCCACAGGAGAATAATCTCAAGTTTTATAGCTGTGCGAACTTACAGTGCCCATGTTTGCAAAACACATCAAACCACACACTCAGACTGGATAGGGTTCTGCTGTTACACTGAAGAATCACAAGCACCTACTTGGATATCCTTAACAAATGGTTACCAAACAAAGAAAACAGCATCCCAGCAATGCGTGAGCTAAACAGCAGCCCCAGTCATTTACAAGCCAGAACACACTTCTCACAAATGACACCTGTGAAGCCACTCCATTGCACAGATTTATACAAGGATAGATCAAATTCATTACTGGAATGCCACACATGCAGTCTGTCTCATCCTTCCTTACAGTAAATTTATGAAATCTCAAACTGATGATTACTATGATCATCTACCTAGAAGAAGACCTAAAGAAAGGATATCCTACACTATTCTTTTACTTAGAGCACCTGCTACTGGTCACCACAGGAGACAGGATATTGACCTGGACACTGAACCATGGAGGGACTCAGCATAGCAGTTATGCACAGAGACTCTTGCTTAAGACAAGAAGGTAAAAATGCTCTGATGGGGTTATCTTTATATAAAGGTTTTTCTCAACTAGAGTACATTGTAAAATTTCCAATGTAGGTTTTAAAATGTGTCAATAAAAGATTACATTGAAGGTAATTTTTATTTTTTATATTTTTAACACTTCAGTTTCTAGAATCCAAAAACTGTACAGCAGCTTTCCATTGTTGACAAGAATCAATTTGTTTTGAAGTGACAAAATTTTTGGACAGAAATTTCTTCATAAAAATATTCATAAAAATTCTTAAACTGTTCATCTACTCACAATAAATTCCCACTTAAACTTACTTAGAAGCTGGGTCATAAATAAATTCAATAATTAAAGCTAAGATAGCAAAGATAAGTATGATTTGGTACAGCTATATGCTATATAGCTACAGCTATATGGTAATTCACAAACAAATTTCTTAGAAATGCTTTATTATGTTTTTCAATGATGGTTCCTTGTCAGGTAAAGCGTTTTATGGGGAACTGGGACCATAATTCAAAACTTTCCTATTTGAGTCTGTCCTTCCATTTAAATTGTAGTACAGCACCTTTTTAAACCCAGTCCTAGCCAGGTGGCTGGTTTTGTTTTGTGTTAGTAATGCAATACAGTAGCTTCTATAGATTGCCTTAAAAAATGCCCTCACACTGGCAGGGCATTGGTTTAAGGAAAGGAACGTAAAGCTTTGATTCTCTGTCAGGTTACAAGAGAACTGAATATCAAGTATAAATTTTGAACAGTAGTTGCTACTTTACAATATGTATCCAAAATCACAATTTACAGAAAAGGAATGTATCACAAACAACTTTGTTTCTTCGTTTGTGTTCCTAGTCAAGAGCTGCCTGGAAACTTCTGGTGAAATATATCTTGATGCCATTTGGAAGTAATAGATTTTAGAAAGCCAGAAAAACATAGCATAAATATTGACATATTAGTTTACTTTCCTAAATTTCTCCTTACTCCTCCAATGGCATAGTTAAATACTGCCTTGATTATTTTATTCACTTTCAAACTTGTATCACCTTGTGAAGTGGATGCTGACAGCTGGGCCATCCATTTTCTTGGTATTACTCTACCACAATCAATGAAATAATCTGAGTTATATCACTAAGCTAGCTATCACGTACTGAATCTATACACTGCAAGTTACAGTGTGAAAAGAATGTGCATTTTACACTTTTGTTAGTGCTAGCATCTTCATACCTCTTAAAATTACATGCATGGATATATATATAAAATAAATGAATATTTATGTACTGGATTACTTGCACAAACAGAGAAGCCTAAGGGACCACAGCAGGCTTCTTAGCTGTGAGTCAGTCACAACTTTGTAATGTGGTTATTGGCTATAATTATACAGAAAAAAATATTTCTGTTGGATTTTGATTTCACTGAAAGTTTAAAAAATATCTTGGAGACTTAAAAACAAAGGGGGGCTTGTAGATTTTTGGGAAGAAGTTTACACTGCTTTGTAATCACAGGGTTTTTCTTTTAATTAGGTAAAAAAGAAATAACACATTTAAACAAAGGAAATATGCCCTATGTGTTTTAAATGTAAATTGAAAGGTTCCAAATTCCAGGTCATTTTTCTTCCTTCTGAAGTATAACATAAATGCATTTTGTCATCTTACTGTCTTCAGTTTTTCAACAGAAATGCTAGGAAAGATGTCAGCACGTTGTAATCTGACAGATGCCCTGCTATCATATATGACCCATTTTTAACATTCAAATGAAGAAAGCTAATACAGTGCTATGGAATTTGTGTTGTTTGGTGTTTATGTATGAATTTTATTTTAACTGAGAATTCCTGAAAATCTGTGATTACTTAGCAATATTCCGTATACTTTGTCTTCCATCTACTTTGTCTTGCCCTACTGAATGGATATATTACTTGTGCTCTCAACTTTCAAGAGACCTATCATATCACCACATACTTTTTGTCTAATTAAAAGTGCTCACATATTCATGGCATTATAATCACAGTAAAAGTTACGGTATCTATCAACAACAAAAAGACATTACAAAATGTGTTTAAGGTAGATTTCATTTTGATTTATGAGATACAAGCAGTTCTGGAGCTATGAGACTTTTGCTTTGAATGTACTGCAGTTTTACACTCCTAGCACTCTCTCTGGGACTGATCCAAATCCCATTACATCAATGATCAAGATGTGCGCAGCTCAGAAATATTTTTTATTCTCTGGATATAGTACAGACTGCTATATAGAAAATAAACACTGTATGCTCTCTCTTGTGGAAAATATATATTTGTTCTTTCTTGTTTTGCTCTTTTCATAAGTTAAATGTAGGTCATTCATACCAAAGGTATATGGTTGCTCTTTGCACATAAGAGAAACTTAACACTTCTACAGGGCGTGAGACCAAACACTGAGCAACTGTAATCACTTGAGAAATGTAATAGCTGTATGCTGTGTCTTATGGCCATTATGAAATGGAACTTACACCTAAAAATGAGGAAAACAGTTAGCTTTCTCCATTTATGGAGCTATGCCACAGTTATGACATAATTCATAGCCAGACAGAAAGTTCCAGTTGTATCCATAGACATTTTATAATTCTGTGTAGTGGAAAACTGATATTGAAGAGAGATTTTTGCCAAGTAAAGTTATTCATACACAAGCTTCCTTCTCATGACAGCTTTCCCACTGTACTGCAGAGTGATGCTGGAACTCTGCCTTGGGACAAGAACTTTCTACACCAACACTGACGGTTTATGTACTGAGATGAAGTGCTTCTAGTTCCCTGTGTTCTCATTCTTATTCTTACTACCTCATTACCCCACAGTTTTGTGTAGAGAACTTTCTAGTTTTTTTTGTTGCAATAAACTCATACATAGTAGATGTTCAAGATATTTCCACTCTGTGATTGCAAAAATTTAATTATCATATGGGGTTTGGGTGTTAAACTTGTTACTAATTCTTAAACAGCTGCAGTTATCAACAGAGAAAAAAATTTGGACCATTCATTTTTCCTTCAAGGTCCAGAGAAACACAAAAAGAGAAAATAAAAAATATGAAAAAATTCATTAATTAACTCCTTAGTTCTTGCTGTTAAGCAATATTAACAAAGAAAATAAACAAACACCTTATTTGATCCCTAGGGAAACATGACTTTTTGCATGTATGCAGGAATTTAGAAGCATATCCTGAATATTTTGCAGAGGTTTTCTCAGTATATGAGCATAGCAATTGTGGCATTGTATATCTTGCACATATGATAGGTATTTATGCTTTAGTTTCCTTCAGAAATTTCTCAGGATAGACAAAACCTTATATGGTTTTGTAATCTCTAAACTCTCTGCAGTGTGACCTTCATAGTAGTGATGGTGATGTGTATTGTAACTTGTATTAATCAGAAGAGTAGGCCTAAACAGCATCAAGCAGTGGGCCCAGGTGAACCTCGAGAGGTTCAACAAATCCAAGTGCAAAGTCTTGCATCTGGGTCATGGCAACCTCCACTATCAGTACAAGCTGGAGGATGTAAGGATAGAGCACAGCTGTGCCAAAAAGGACTAGAAGGCACTGGTGGATGGCAAGATGGGCATGAATCAGCAATGTACCCTGGCAGACCAGAAAGACAACAGTATACTGGGCTGTATCCAAAGAATTGTAGTCAGCAGGGCAAGGGAGGTGATCCTGTCCCTCTGCTCCGCGCTGCAAGACCTCACCTGGAGTACTGTCCTCACTGCAGGAGAGATGTGAATTTCTTGAAGCACACCGAGAAGGCCATAGAAAAAGCCCAAGTGATGGAACACCTCCCCTACGAGGACAGAGTGAGAGAGCTGGGACTATTCAGCCTGGAGAGCACTCCAGATCAGACAGTGGCCTTACAGTATCTATAGGAGAGCTATAAGAAAGATGGGGACAGACTCTTTTGCAGGGTCTGCTGTGGTAGGACAAAGGGAAATGGTTTCAAACTAAAAGAGGGGAGATTTAAATAGGATATAAGGAAAGAGTTTTTTATGATAAGGATAGTGAAGCACTGGAACATGTAGTCCAGAGAGGTGGTGGATATTCCCATCCTTGGAGACACTCAAAGTCAGGCTGGACAGGACTCTGAGAAATCCGATCTAGCTGTGGATGCCCCTGCTCACTACAGGAAAGCTGGACTAGATGGTCTTTTACGGTCCCTTCCAACTGAAAAGATTCTATGGTTCTATGATTTCTGTTACCTTTCCATTGAAGTGCAAAACAAAATACTTTTAAAATGTTTCTCAAAAACTGTTTTCTTCTATTTGTCTGATGTGTTATTCAGAACACATCTAAGAAACAAATAAATAAACAAAAAAAGAGCTGCTATAAGACTGATGCTTTTTCTCTCAAGAGATTATTTCACTCAGTCTCTTCTTGCAAATGAATGCAAGAATTTCTGTCAGAAAAAAAAACAAACAAACAAAAAAAAAACAACAACTTCAACAACTGGACAAGATTTCAGGAAACTTTGAATTATTTTTTCAAGTCTTTAGCATCTTTCAAAATTGGCCTCTTAAAATCTGACCAATCTTGACATTTTAAAACCTACATAACCTCAGATCTGAGATACATTCTTCCTTTAACAAGATCCTAAAGCCTGATGCAGATACTTACTTATTCTACAAAACATTCATTATTTTTAATTTAATTGCACAAATAATTAATATAGTTACTAAAACTTTTAGTAAATATGTTAATATATATTTAATACTGTGTAATTACACATTTACACATTTATTATTATACCACTACAGAATCTAGTTATGATTTTTTATATATATTATATAGATATGATTATTTACATAGCATAAGAGTCAGGCCCTATAGTTTCTACTCTGTGCTTTATTATGTAAGTATATTGTGTGTCATATTACTGTCATCATGAAATGCTATTACCTAAAGATATGAATTACTCACAGTCACAGTAGCAAGAAGATCAATATACAACTCCGTTATTACAGCAAAATGTACCACTGCGTAGCAGTTAAGATAAGCTGGTACACTTGGATTGAAGGGAACTTCATTTCCAGTGACCTATATGAAGCAATACAGATACCAGTGTTCCACTGCAACCTCTTATTCCTTAGTATTCCTTAAAATTACAAACACAAAAAGATTAAGGAGCACAGATAATTACACAAAGATAATCTACAATCTTACATACATACTGTCTAGTGTTTCACTGTTTATGTGTGTGTGCGTGTGCATATTCAAAACTGAAAGAAAAAGAGAAATTAACTTACTTTATAGAACTATTTTGAAAATCTCTTTAGGAAATGAATAATGAAAAAATAAACAAAATGATATAATTTTCCTTCAAATAAAAAGAAAAACACAAGTAAAACATTCATTTCCTTCAGTCTTTTCCTTTTATGACTGCTAATTTGCTAATTTAAAATAGCATGTGTAGAGTTCTTAACGTTGATCCAGTAGCATTAAGAGGTCCAAGTAAATTACACAAAACTGAAAGCCTCTATATGTTATATTTACCGCTGGGATTTCCTCAGGAAGGCCAAGTCTAGGTTTGCCTGGTCCCCAGCCTGGCCCTTTGAATATGACAGAAAGCTTATTCCAGAATCCAGGTGTGGCCCAAAATGTATTCCAAATACGAGCCAAGGGACGTAACTTAAAAAAGAGCACGTGATTTTTCATTGTTAGTAAAATAAAATTTATTAAAACATTACATTTCCCTCATCCTTAGCTTTCAAATAAATGACTTTTTGCAAGTCTGTAAAGAGAGTACATTAAAAAGAGATGAAGACAGAGGTTCAGAAAACATGACTGAAATAGGCAGGAGCCATATCAGGTCCTTGGTTTATTGTAAGGATTATAAAGACTTCTACTCAGAGGAAAATCTCTCTTTCCTATAGGCAATCCAGAACATTTAACAGTATTTTGTATAGCTGTATTTATGATGGCTTTAAAGTAGAATTTTGTTATTGGGACTTTTACATGACATACTCTCAATTCCTAAATTACTCAGTGCTGTCTGTAATGTATATAACAGTACGGACTGTGGCCATCCTTCTAGCTTCCAGCCCAGGTACTCCTTCAGGCAGAATTTCTAAGTCTTTGAGATGCCTTGTGGAGTGAACAGCCATAAAAAATCCCCATGAAATAAGGGGAGACGTCTATACTCCTCAGTTCTTCTACAGTTTTATGGAGAACTTTTTATGTTGTGATGAAGAGAAGCTTGGACCAAGAAATCCACCAAGAACCACATTAAGTACTTTTTCTTCTTTTTCCTTTCTGTTCCAAACAGCTTCTGTTGAAAATATGATGGCTGCTATGTAACACTGTCAATGCAAATCATTATGAAGCATCATTAAGATCAAATACGCAAAACAGATAAAGAAATAAAGATATCACACCATGGGATTACTTATGAAATAGCAAATTTAGAGAATACATAAACAACAGATTTTGTTTTCTGTCTGTGCCTCTCTACATATTGCTCTGTGTGTGTCAAAATAGACAGCATTCACTGGGTAAGTCATAGGCCTGTTATATTCCCACTGTAATTAATTAATTAATAATTTTACTGTATTGTGTTTTCATAATGGCTCTACATGCCCTGTATATTTTCAGTGCAGCAAGTTGTAATGAAATACTGAAGACACTGTGGATAGTGAATTAACTATGTAGCAGAGTTAATCTCAGTTATGCCTAAAAGGGGTTTCTTTTGAACAACCAGCACTCTTTTTGAATGATTGTTATAGATAACAGAATCAGTTATACAAAGGATAGCACCTGGAGCAGGATGGGGTCAAATGAATTTACTGGATGTGTTAAGCCATATACAACTTTAGCATCTTCTGCCTCAAATGTTCCTGTAGGAAAATGTAAAAAAAAAAAAAAAAAAAAGAATCAACATTTAAATATACACATTTTGTTTGATGCACTAACTAAACATGAGGGAGAGAGCAGCTTGCTTTGGTTTGGTTTTACTTACCAAATATCCTGTCCCAGATAATGAGTGTGCCGCCATAATTTTTGTCAATGCAGTAAGGATTTCTACCTATAATAAAAATGATTGATAAGTCATTGCATATATAATACATGCAAGTGGGTTACAAAAGGAAATCTTAGCATCAACTTCTAATCTAAAAATATTTTTAAGGAGTGAATTAGCAAGTTTGCTGATGGTGCAAACCTGGGAGGAGTGGTGGACATACCAGAAGGTTGTGCTGCCATTCAGTGAGACCTGAGCAGGCAGAGAGCTGGTCCTGGAAGAGGAACCTTATAAGTTTTAATAATAAAGAGTGCATAGTCCTGAATCTGGGGAGGAATAACCACATGCATCAGTATAGATTAGGGTCTGAACTGCTGGAAAGAAGCTCTGCAGAGAAGGACCCGGGTGTCTTGGTGAACAACAGGTTGGCCATAAGCCAGCAGTGTGCCCCTGTGGCCAAGAAGGCCCACAGTATCCTGGAATGCATTAAGAAGATTCTGGCCAGCAGGTCCAGGGAGGTGATCCTCCCCCTCTACTCTGCCCTGGTGAGGCCACACCCAGAGTACTGTGTCCAGTTCTGGGCTCTTCAGTTCAAGAAAGACAGGGAAGGGATACAAAGATGATGAGAGATCTGGAGCATCTCCCTTACAAGGAAAAGCTGAGAGGCCTTGAACTGTTCATCCTGGAGAAGAATGAGAGGGGATCCTATCAATGCTTACCAACGAAAAGGCAGGTGTCAAGAGGAAGGGATCAGATTTTTTTCAGTAGTATCCAGTGATGGGACAGAAGGCAAACAGGCACAACACAGAATATAGGAATTTCCATATGAACATAAGAAAGAACTTATTTACTTTGAGGGTGACAGAGCTGGAACAAGATGCCCAGAGAGGCAGTGGAGTCTCCTTCTCTGGAGATATTCAACACCTGTCTCAATGTTTTCCTGTGCAACCTATTTAAGTGAACCCGCTTTAATAGGCGGTTGGACTAGATGATCTGTAGAGATGATCTAGAGTTCCTCCAATCTTTCAGCTCTTACAATTCTGTAACTCTGAATAGTAAGTTAGCTGCCCTTTATGTATTTACAACATTTCTTTTTTCTGAAAAATCATCTAAGTCTCCTTCTATTCAGAATCAAATATACAAACGTAGCATGTCGTACTCAAAATTTCTGTGAAATAAAGAATTCAACTGGAGAGTAAATTCACCTAAAATATATTTATGAAGAAAAATTAAAGAAGTAAAAAAAAAATCACCTCATTAATTTATACCCAAGAAAATACATGTCGAATACATTTATGCATAATCATCTCTTTACTGTCTTTCAGCTGTTTCTATGTTTTATTGCCATACATCTGATCCTGCCTATACCACTGAATTCAGGGTGACCCTTCAATCTATTACCTAGGGAATGCACTTGTATGTGAAATATCTTTCAAATGTTTGAGCAAAATCAAACTGTGGAGTTTGTTTGGTGCAACTGTACAATACTCGATTCTGCTCAACTCTGATCAGGTTCAGAGGATTAGTCTGGATTTACAGCAGAGCAAATAAGAGCAGACTGGTTCCCTCCAGGATTACCAGTACTTGTGCAAATTTTAAGGATTAGATAGTTACAGCACCACAGCCTTTTAAAAAAGTCTATACAGTGCTATAAACACTCTACACGTGGAGGATATAATAAATATTAATAACATCCTCTGTACATACAACTCCATTTTAGTCTGTTTCAAATTATTTTGTTTTTCCATTCCCATTACTTTTCTCCTTGTTATCTCTGCACTCTGAATGAGCCAGTGACATCTATAAAACCCACTTTTATTCCATAGGTATATTCGCGGCATTTCTCATGATTCAGAGGAGTTATGAATCAAATTTAGATATGCAGTATCATCTTTAATTCTTCTGGATATTGATGGAAATTCGTATCAGCTGACAAGTATGTGTGTGAAGTGATATTTTTCGACAATTCAGACATTTGAAACTAAATTCCACCAAAACGTTTAACAGCTCTACTTCAAAAAGAAAAACGTGTCTTACTGCATGAATTTGAATGCAAGAGCATCTGTTACTGACTGGTACGATGACTGTGTTTTAGCAGTCAGGGAAAGTGAGATTTTTATTATCATTCTTTATATTTACAAAACTATTTTGTTCAAAATCTTCAAATTATCTCACATTATCAAGGTTTCGTTTTTGCTCAATAATTAATCTCAAAGGTAAAGATTTAAAAATTAAATATAAGTTCTAATTTTTTAAAAAATTACTGTTTAATACTATGTAACTTCTCACATAACAAGGACTATTTTTTGAAGCAGTTAGCAAAATTAAAATTGTTGTATAATACTAAAGTATAATTTTTATTCTTTCTTATTACAGTCCAAGTACTGAATACTAGCAAAAGCCTATTGAGGAATTAGAGGTTATGCTTTTAACTTACCATGATGAACTCTGTGATGACTAGGAGTATTAAGAATCCACTCCAATGGACCAATGTTAGTGACAACCTTGAAAAGAAATAATGTTTATCTAAATTTGAAAACACTGTATGAATTCAATAAAAAGGAGGGAAAAGAAGGACACAAAAGGCATAAAGATTTTTATCTCCAGGAGACTTGTCTAAAAAGATGAGAACTTTTTTGTTTTAACTTGTGTTCATTACAAGATTTTTCAAGAAAGAATAAGTGAAATCTAGTAAAATGCAAGTTAAAAAGCAAGTTTCTTTTTGATCAATCAGCACACTTTCTTCTTTTATTACTAGTTCATGATTCTATACAGATTGCTCAATTTTTCATCTGTATCTATTGACACTTCTTGGTAAGCAGTGTAACTCTAAGATCCCAGTAATTTGAATATTCAGCCTAAGCAAATGGTTGGCACAGTTCCAGAAACAATCTCCTTTAGTATCTTTGACTGTTTTCTCCTTCTACCAACACCCTTCTTTTACTCCAGCAGAAATGAAATAACACAACAAACCGAGAACCAATGCAAGTGGAAACTATATTTGTTTCATTTTGCCATAAACTTACTCTAATGATTCAAGCTTTGTCATAAAATGCTTATGAATTAAGTTTATGAATAAAGTAAATATAAAAAAAATTAATATTTTTGTTAATATTCATCTTTATTAACATAAAATGAACTTCTAATTATTAGGTTAAGCAGAGCATTTCTGTAAAGGAAGGAGTATAGAAATGATCCAGTTCTTCATATAGAGAGAACTGCAACATCTGGAGCATCTTGCTCAAAATAATGTGCACACTGGCTGGAAAAGCAGAACACTGGGACAAATTTGTTTTGTTTTGTTTAATTCAGAAGCCAAGGACAACATAAGTAGGGCCATTTGTATTTCTTAGAACTCACTCAAAATAAGTTCAAGCCTGAAAAGAACACCAAAAGGTGAGAAACAATTCATCATTCAGTCTAGCTTGATTTCCCTCATCTCTCAAGCAGAAAATCCCACTGTATTAAGCTATGTGAGATGTAACCACTAAATTGAACTAATGAATTAAATGTCTTGGATTGAATTGTAGCCCAGAACCTGAGAGAACAGTGATCTATATATTAGACCACACCTAAATTTGATAAAAATGGTAAAGTACACTATTTCTAGAAATTTCCATTGCTATCAGTAAGCTTATACCTAAAAACTGCTATCAGTGGAAAATTTTTTGCATTCTCTATATATTTTATAAATATATATATATTTTAAACACATATTTTATATTTGGTAAATATGGACTTATATGATATCAACAAGAGGAAATACATAATCTCTGTAACAGTGGATTTTGAAGCCTCCTGCAGTAGCACAACACGAAGAACAATTCAATTTTCTTGATATTTTCTACCTTCTGCCATCATCTACCACAGGAGGAAAACACACCCTGAGCAGATCCTTCATCAGAGTAAATTGCAAAGTCTAGGATAGTAAAATAATTGTTGCCAGGCAAAATTTTATACTCTGACGCTGTCATTTGAGGCTCACAGGACCCTACTGAAATTAAGAGAAAAAAAAAAAAAAAAAAAAAAAAAAACTTTGCAGGACTTGGCATGTAACAAAATTTAATGTGGTGGAACAACAGTCAATGCTCAAAAGAATGTCTAGAAAGTTACAAAGAGGAAAAAAGCAGTGGTGGATGTTCCAGCTACCAATCAGCCTTTCAGCTTTCAATCTTCCCTCATTGCTGTGGGGCAGATGTCTGTGTCATTGTGTCCAGACATCTTCCTTGAAGAACATCAATCACAACGCAGTAGGTAAATATTTATAGTAGCAGTAACCAGGCATACTTCACAGTTGCAACCAGTCACCAAGATATATATACTGCCAGATCTCAGTCATTCAAGACACCAGAACATTTTTATCTTAAAATAGGTTTCCATTCAAAATGGCTTTTTAGAATAAACATTTTCACATTTCTGGAAAAACACTTTTCAATTTAATATTGAAATATATATAAAATAAATATATAAAAATATATTTTATAATATAAAATATCAAATAAATAAACATAAAATAATATATATATAAAATATATATATGAAATAGATAAAATGTCAAATAAATTCAATATTATATCAGAACAAATCACATATTTTGTGGCTTACAATTGAGATTTTCATTAGAAAAATAATATACTTTTTACTGTTATGGCTTTTTTATGCACTAAATGCTTTGTTTCAGCCCTTTTTTTCTACTGGAAGTTAGTCTAAAAAATTCAAAAATATATGGTGGAAATGTCATGGTCCAATATTTCTATCACCTTTATTGCATATTTCATTTTATTAAAAGGAAAAAATCCTGTAAGTATAAATAATTCTATAATAATTTATATCATCATCTTGCAGTTATCCTGGAAGGCTGAAAAATTACTCCAATTAGCCTTAAAAAATGATATATACCAACTCTTTTCCTAGAATGATCTTATAATTATATGAGAATGTCGACCAATATGGCTGGCAGAGGGGACATTCTTGTGTTAGTTTCTTAGATACAGACAACTATTGTACTAAATCAAATCCTGTCTCCTATTTTTCCTCTCTCAGTTAACACATCATGTCCACCTACCACGTCACTGAGCCTCAATGAACTGCTGCATTCCAGAAAACTTTTCCTGCTTGCTTTGTTTATAGTTTAACATCACATGTCCACAAAACAATTTTCACCTGAAAAAACCTTACAAATAGATTAGATAAACTACATGTGAATCTGATATATAGGTATTTATGAACATCATTCAGACTTATAAGATCTCTTCTCAAAACAGGTATTTTTTTCTTTTTTTTTAAAGCAACATATTCCTAAGTTATTGCATCAAGAAGTTTCTAAACAATAATGCAGAATTATTATGAGAACAATTGAAGCAGCTTCAAGAGCAGTTTAAAAAACAAGGCAGCTAAAAGCTATGTGCTTACAAACTTTCCACAATTTGCTGAACAAAAAAATTCCAGAAGTCAAACCTTCATATAAAACGAGATTTTTTTTTTTTTTTTTCAATAATAACAGTTCTTATATAAAGATGTTTCCTTTATGACAGCAATCCCTTGCCTAAAGGAAAAGAACATCATGCAATCTCTTGTGGCATGTAAGCACGTCCGTTTGCGGTCTCAGAGTTTGTCAGCACCAAGGGAAATCTTTATTGCCTGGTACCTGCACCACTTCAATGTAGTTCTTGTTTAAATAATGAGAAAAAATCGTGACTTGAAATCCAAAGGAAACTTTACATCTTGTGTAACAACTCCTCCTGTCACCACTACAACATGAATCTTTGCTTAACTCTGTTTCAACATGAATGTTGGGAAGAAATGTCGACAGAGCAGAGGAGGCAATGTTACAGTAAAAGCACTGCTAAATAAAAAAAATAACTTTTTTTCTTTATGTATAAGAAAAGCTGTTTGTAGCAGAGCATGACTTTCAATATCATAGTGCTACTGATCTGCAGGACAGAAGACGGTAAATTCGTCCCTGGAGCATGACTAAAGAGCACTCTGAACTTAACTCTGGGGTTTCAGCTAGATTAGTTGTGGTAGAACAGGTATTTCAACTGATTTCTTCATCAAAAGTAAGACAAGATTTTTCTTCCCGGTATATAAATCTGTATTTCAGATAGTTTGGTGGGGAAATTTGAATATAAGACTTTAATTACATTCTCAATAGAGCTGCTGTGTTAATTCAGGACAACACACCCATGTATTTATACAGATGGCCCTGGTGATCATATTTGCCATGTGAATTCTCTACAGGGAGGCTAGGGAAAGGCAGAACTCCTAGGATACATGCTTGTCTGCCCAGTTTCACACTTTGAAATCCTCAGCAAACCCTGATTTATATACCGCCAACTGTTTTCCTATCTGATTAGGCAGTTTTCTATTCCAGTAAGCATGTAAAATGGATGTAGGCAAATTTCCACAGTGAGGAACGAAAAAACAATATTTATAGTTTAGAAATAAAATAAGCCAAAGGAATCAGGTCTGTTGGGATCATAAAGAATTTAATAGGGTGGTGAATTTCTGACAAATCTGGATTGTAGGAATGGGAGGTGAAAGCCTAGTTTTAATGGATAGTCAAGTTTAGGGTATGTTTATATAATAAACACACAGACTTAAGAAACGTGTTTAGAATAAATTATCTTGAAGGCAGACAGTTGTCACTTTTTGTTGGTTTATGCTTTAACCAGAAGGTAAGGTTTGAATCAAATAGACATCTGACATGAATATTTCAGCTACCACTTTCAATAAGTGAATGCAACATTTGATATATATATATATATATATTTTTTTTTTTTTTGCAAGGTCTAATTAAGCCTTCTTGTAGAAAGATAAGCACATGTTGCTTATGTCAATCAAGTTGTCCACTACAATGCAAGAAAACAATCACTAACTTACTGTTTTGATTGTAATATTACAAATAGCAGAGCACAATGGGAGTCACTCTTCCAGTTGTATATCAAGTTAAACATTTTAAACAAACTCCAGGAGAAAAACTGCTATACAGTTTCAGTATTTTTTTAATCAACTTGACAAATACATGCTGGTGACTGTGGAGAAAAAAACCAGAGCAATAAATCATATGCCAGCCCTGAAACAAACCAAATATATTAAACTGTAGCTCTTCACTGTACCTCTTTAAAAAGACAAAAATACAGTCATCATCTTGCACTTTGTTGTTTTTCTTTTAATAAATAAATGATTTCCAAATATTATTTTGCTTTTAAAGCCACAATCAATTAAAATAGATTCTCAACGAGTACAACTACGTGTAAAACCCAAGATTACTAAACATAACTTTGTTAAAATGTGGAAAAATATAATTTTTTTTAATGTCATTTGGTCTCTCTAATTCATCTCCACATTAATTTAGTATCCTTTCATTATTTTATTAACTTTAATTGGTAAATAGGTTGCTTATGTTGTTCTGCATTCTGCAGAAATGTATTGTCTCTAAGTATCTCATTTCACACTCACTTTGGTAATTCTCCTCAGACAAAATAGACTGAGTGATCTACAT